CATGCATACACAGCTTCCACGTCCTCAACCCAGAGGACAGGGCCTGTCTGATATCCTTCCTGAGGCTCGCACCCCTGCACTGAGCATGTCCTCAACAAATTTGACACTTGCACTGCTCCAGAACCTTGAAGACACAACTGCCGCCCCCTCTAGAAAGCTTCCCAGGAATGCCCCAGTGCCCATCAAGCCCTCTTCCCCATCTCTGACTACTGACTTGTGCAAGACTGATCTTAAGGAGTCAGGTGGCTCCCTGAGGGCAGGGCTCAAACTTTCTCATCACCCTTGACCTTTAGGGCTAAAGAGGGGGTTCCTGTGTAAGCAGGCAGACTTGGAGACTCCTCAACTTATGTGTTTCCATTTTAACATAGCCAGTCCTTCAGCGTGTCTCTGGAATGGGATACTGGGAAGTAGGTTAGGTGGGATGTCCTTTCTTTTCCTGTCCTGGCAGATGCCTCGTAAAGATGGGCCCAGATGCTAATAGCAGGACACAGTGGAAGCCTGAGATCAAGGAGGCTGAGGCTGAGCCAAGATGTGCTTAGTGGTCCTGCAGGAGGAAAAGTGACCACGTCCAGGAGGGAGGCAGCAGGACCCTCCTTTGCAGTCAAAAAGACCACAGGGACAGGTAAGAGGAGGCGCCAGTGTAGGGCAGATAGAAGAAGATGGGGAAGGGAGACAGAGGACTCAGGGACAGAAAGAGGGAGGCAGGGGGGATGGAGAGAGGATAGGGAGAGATGGAGGGAGAGAGTTGGAGAGGAAAGATGGAGAGAGGGGAGGGAAAATGAGAGAGACACAGAGATACACACACACAGGAAGAGACAGAGAGGTGGACAGACTGGTCATTGAGGCTAAAAATAAACAGGGAGAGAACAAGAGAGACCCAGAGAAAGATGCGCACACAGAGATGGCTCAGGGGAATCTGTGTGGAATGGTGGGAGGCAGGAGGAAAATGGAGTATAAGTGCCCCCACCTCTGGTCAAACCACCCCTAGGCTAATCTACTTCCCTTCTCCTTATTGATAGGGATGAGATTAAACTGTGTCTGAACATTTAGGATTATTTCTGGCCACCCAGGATTTGAACCTGAGCTCAGGAGCCCCTTAGTGCCGGAACACCAGATTCCCACTTTTCCAAGCTCCCTTGCAGCCAGAGCTAGAGCACAGACCTGGAACCCCAAATGATCCCCACCTACCCAAGGGAAGTAGTGAACTGGGGACCCACAGATGCAGATGGGGAGGACTGTCTAGGGACAACTGCAGGAAACTTAAGGCTCTAGGGTAGTGGTGGCGGCAGGGCTGTGACCCGTCTGGTAGCTGAGGCTAGTGGCATTGGCAGGGGTACTCTGGGGAAGTGGGGGTTCCCTAATTTGGTCAGCTCTGCCCATGTTCTTGGGTGGGAACCGCAAATCTGGCTGTCCAGCCCATGCAGTGATCCCATAAACACTCTTCTCTGCTAAACTCAGCAGAGTTGCTTTTTGAGGGCAGCAGAGCCTGAGTTTGAGTCTTTGTCATGTTGCACGTCCAGTCATGTAACTGCTTGGTGTCTCCATTTCCCCAAGTGTCACACAAGATAATACTATGATTCTGTCATTGGGTGTAAGGATTAAATGAGTTTAAACAACTGTACAAACGTGGAAGCCTGGCCACTGAAGCGCCAGCAGGGCTTGTGGAGGGAACATTAGAGGACACTTGGTCTGCTGTGGACGGGCATGTGCGACTGTGCACAAGGTCCTTACCTTTCCTGGGCCACGGCGGAGTCTGGAAATAGCTTGGGTGAGACACAGCAAGGTTCTGACCAGCCTCCCAGACTTGCTCCCTGCAGCTACTCACTTAACTAACCGCACATACCGAGAACTCCTAAGGCCTTATCTGGGCTTTTCCCCACCCCGCCTGGACATCTGCACCCAGGTATCCCTCAGATCCTCAAAGCAAACCCATCCCTGCTGGTACTCAGCAAGTCTTCCCTGGCTCCTCTACCTTCCCTTCTCCTACTGAGTTGGGTGGGTTCAATCAAATGTGCACAGGGGCTGCTTACATTCCCACCCTCCTTTGCTCCCACAGCCTCCCTCCACCTGGGCTGTGTAGCAGCCTTGCACTGCTGCTCTCCCCACTGAGGACAGGGCGTCCCCACAGCTGAGATCCTCTGCTTACAAGCTTGTCTGGCTCCCTCCCACACCATGGTGAAGCACAGTGAAGCCACCTTAACCCCCTGCATCATCTGACCTCCATCCCCCTCTCCAATTTCATTGCTTCTGTTTCCCACTCCCTATGTGCCATACAACACTTATCCAGAGGCACCAGCCCAGTCCATCTGCATGTTCCTGCTCACTCTTCTTCTCAGCCTGGAACGCCTGCCCTATACCTTTTAGACTCAGCTGCTGAAGTCCAACCTGGTCCCAGAAAGTCCAGCTTGGAGGGCTAAGTCCTCCCTGATCCTTCAGGCTGGAGGCACGAGTCTGTGGCTCTCCTCACAAACTGAGTGTCCCTTGTGAAGGCAGCATTGCCCCCTGGGTGAGTGAGGGCTGGGGACTCCCATGTCTGCACTGGTACACGGGAGCTGATTAGAACTTTGAACAAGTTCCTTCATGTGTCTGGGCCTCAGTGTTCTGGTTTGCAATGTGGGCATAAGAGCAGGATGTATGTCAGAGGGTGTGGGGATGGTGACAGTATGGCTGCCCATGGCTCCTTGGATGCAAAGTTCCTTGGTAGTAGCTGGCACCTGGAAATGATCAGCACTGGACAGTTCTGTGGCTGATTCTCTGTGATCACAGAGACTAAAGTCTAAGCTGCTCCTCCCACGGGGACAACTCCCGCCCTGTAAAGAATGAGGTTTCAATGGGAGTTTGGCTGTGGCATAACAAAATCTTCCTCCTCTTCCCCTAAGCTTCTCACTGGAGTCATTTTCTTCCTATGTCCTCTCTCTAAAGGAAGGATCTCATTGCAAAGGCAAACAGAGAAAGAGGAAGAAAGGGGAGGAGGGAAGTGAATCTCAAATCTGGAATCTCCCACATTTCCACAGCCATTAGCAGCCTCTGTTCTTCCCACCCAGGCTGGCCTCAGCCCCAGGTACTGGTTAATGGTGGGACTCTTGCCCGCACACACTCCCCTGCTCCCAGCAGTTACGGTGCAGACAGCACTTCGGTCCAAATGAAGAAAAGTGTTCATTAGATACCAGGGCTAATTGGCATTACTGCCAGCCTCAGTGGTGCCCTGACCTTTTTCAGCTTCGCATTTGGCTTGATTGATGTAAGTGCTCTGGCCTGTGCGGCCCCACTGCCTTGGGAGGTCTTCTCTGTGCTCCCCTGTCCCTAGTCCCCCCCAGCAGGGCATTTATCACTCTATTTTTATTGTCTGTGGCAATTGTGAGGGCCTCAATACAGTGCCAGTGCAGTGGCTGGCACACAGTAGGTGTTCAATAAATTGAATAAAACTGTGCTTAGCTTGGCTATGAAGAAGAGACTTAGGCACTGCCCAGGCAGAATGGGGTGTTCAGGCTGGCTAGGCTGAGAACCCAAGCAGAGCTCCCTCAGTTCACTGGCTATGGGCTGGGGTGCCCCATCATGCCACTTCACCCTAGATGGCCCTAATCTTAATCTCTAGGATGGGTCTGAGTCAGGCACGCGGATCTCCATTGCCCCACCCCATGGAGCTTACAGGAAATAGTTACAGTTAGTAAAACTAATAGTTTTACAGTTGTAAAATGTCAGGACCAGGAAGGCAGAAGTCTTTCCTCCTGCGTGCACACCCTGGTGAGCACTTCATTTCCTTCCAGGGACACCGTTCTAATCATGGAGAGGAAGCATGTCCTTAGACTACGCAGAAACCTTCCTCAGCAGTCCCACCTCCATCCACCCCTTCCATTAGGGGCACTGCTGTTGGACTCTTTGGAGCATGGCAGCTCCCTGGGCCCACCAGAGTCCTCAGCTGGTGCAGCCGGTGGAGCCCTGCGTGGTGTCAGACGCAGGCACCCACTGTCTTGCCTTAATCATCTCTCCCCAGCAAGGCCTCAGCCTCTGAGAGCTGGAAAGGTGTGTGCACGCGTGCGTGTGTTTGTATGGGTGGTGATGGTGCAGCTGGGCTACTGTTCAGACACACACATGGAGGGCTTGGTAGGATGTGTCCAGGATAAGGAATCCAGGGTCTCTCTAAGTGCTCTGCTCATGGGGTGAGGCTGGAGATATGAAGGGGCTCAGGGTGGGCCAGTGGTTGCTGCTCCCACAGCCTCTCACTAACCAAACCCCTGGCTTCCACGAGACCTCCCACAGGGCCCTAGACCTAAGGCACCCACACACTACTGAACAACCTCACCTGGAGGCTGCCCTTTTCCCCAGAAAGTGTCAAGCCGACCTGTGATTCTCCAGGAGGAGGGAAGATACAGGCTGCTCTCTCTGGGAGGTAGGAGCTGGTCCTGCTTCAGGCTCTACTCATTACCCAGGGCGCATAGGTAATGCTGCGCACAGCCCCTGACTCACAGTCTAGGGGCCCAGCCCCCAGACAACCGGTTAGGGAAGAGAAAACACCCCACACTCTCTGGCTCCGCCGTGTCTATGCCCTGTGTGCCCACCCCCCATAGACACTCACCCCATCTTTCTTGCCTTCCTCATATCCTCTCTAGCAGTACAGCCTAATCTCTCTGGGGGGTTGTGGACTTAGCATATCTGTGTGAGCTGGGGTCGGGGAAGCATTGTCTAAACAAAGAGAGGAAGCCCTAACGGGAACTTGAGGCACCAGAACATACCATGCCGGAGAGAGGTTTACCTTCTCCCCTTTCCGCGCTGGAGCAGGGGGGTTATGAACAAATCACTGCCTTACTGAGGTTAGAGGCTATCTTAGGGGTAGGGACAGAGGCATTTCCCCAGCATCATAATGGGTCCTTAACGGCAGTGGCGACATGGTACCGTGCCTTCAGCAGGTCTCTGCCGCTGGGTCTGGAGCCTGTCCCGCTCTCTAAACCATCTTCCTGGTGGCTGCGAAGAGCCGCAGCCGAGGGCAGGGGGGCACTCACGGGTGGTGTTGTACTTGATGCCGTTGAAGTACTCGGGGCACGGCCTCTCCACGAGGGCTCCAGCTACGCTCCGGGGCCAGCACGTCCCGATTTGGTCCAAGGTCGTATTGCAGTAGGAGTAGGGACCTAGCGACGGGAGAGAGCAGAGCGCGGCTCAAAGGGGTCGCCGGGGGCGTGGAGCGCCAAGAGACGAGGTGCACAGGGCGCTTGGGAACGAGAGGTCAGGGGCGCACAGAGCGCGCTAGGGAAGGAGCCCCGGCCGGCTCTGTCCACTCGCCTCCCGCCTACCCTCGGGGTCTAGAGGCGGCCCCCAGCCGTCCAGCAGCAGCTCTTCGCCCAGCGCCAGGCTGCAGTTGGCCTCCAGCAGGCTGTGGAGCAGTGCCGCGTCCATCGCACCCTGGAGCCGCGCGCAGAAAGGCAGTGGGAATGCGCGACCGGCTTGGCTGCGAGGGAGTGGCTGCGAGAGTGAGAGAGCGGGACAGCGCGGGGTCCCGGCCCCTGCCGGCCCAGCCCCGACCTGCCGCGCAGCCTCGGGGCGACGCGCCTGATCCCAGAGCTGCCAACTCGGGGACCTTCCTGGGGAGAAGGTGCTGAGCGCACGGAGCTGCGGGTCTACCGGCTCAGCCACCGCCAATGGCGGCGCCAGGGGGCGGGGCCGGCCGCTCCTCCGTGCTGTGCTAGGTCTCCAGCCCCCAGTCCCGAAGCCCTGCCCAGAACCCGCCTTCTCAGTTCCCGCTCTCTTCCACCCTCGAAGTCCAGAGGAGGGCGGCGGAAACCAGAGATCGTGGGCCCGGGGTGGCGAAGTGCCTGCAGTGTCCGAGGATCTCAGGCCCTGGGGCTGCAGGGGGCAGCGCATAGCGCCCACCTTCAGGCCAGCCCCCAGGAGCCCAGTGTAGCCTCTCTATGCTAGGGACAGCTGCTAGCCAAAGTCGAGCGGCTCTCCGCCTGAGTTTCTTCTCCCTGAGCTAGGACACTGGGCGGAGGCGAGGACCGACAGTCCACAGCAGATGTGCCAGGTGTGCGCCCTAGAAAAGCCCCGTAGCATCTGGGAAGGAAATGGATTTGGAAGGCCACAGCAGAGTCAAAATCAACTGACCTGAATGGGCTGAAGACATGCACCAGGCCGAGGGCGTTGGAGTGGAGAGAGATTTCAGGGGGACACCCAAACCTGGTGAGGGGGGACTGGAGAGGCAGTGGTGGGTGGCTCAGGAGCTGGGAAGAGGGGCTAACACCAGCTCTCCATCTGGGTGCCTGGGGGAATAGCATTACCATTTAATGAAATGGGGAAAGTTTGGAGGAGAAACTGGTTGACATTATCTGGAAGGCTTTAAATACCCAGGTTTTAGTGGCCTGGGCACCAGAAAGAATAAAATAAGAAATGAGAATGTGTCTCTCTTCCTCCAGGCTTGGGCAGGGCCACCTGATACTGTCCAGTGGAGGGGGGAAAAATCCACTGTTACCAGGAATTTGCTCAGTCCTCTTACTGGGTAATTTATTGCCATTACACCCCCAGAATGCCCAGGGTGGGCTGCTGCTTGTGCCTGCTGGGTGGGGGACTCAGGCTCTGGAAACAGGGCTCAGGGCACAGTTTGCTCCAACTCAGCCTGGGTTCTGGTCCTGCCAGTCTCTGCTCGTCTCACCATGTTATCCCAGTCAGTACTCTTGCCCTCTCTTCTGGGGCTTTCTCTGTCAGTGAAATGTCCTCCACAGCCACTCCCAGCTCTGGGCGATTCTGGTTCTGAGTTATGAAATGCAGAGCCATGGGAAGACATACATGTGTGTGAGTTTCTATCTTTAGAGGGCAGAGGGAGGTGGGACCTAGTCCCAGGAACCAGTCCTGCCCCCCTGCCAGCCTCCACTGAAACCAAACCTGCCAGAGAAGGGTGAAGCCCCCCTCAGTGAGTGCCATGCCCCATGCAGGGAGAAGCAGGGAGGCAGGCCAGGCTGCCTTTGCTGTGCTCCAGCCTCATCAGCCTCCATATTAATGCTACTGTCACTGTCCAAAGTGAGTGAGAAAGTGAGAAGAGTGAGAGAGCACTAAGGCTGGGGCTGAGCTCTGGACTCTCTCCAGGGCCTGCTGATTGGCAGGTACATGGTACAGAGCAGCCAGCCAGGTCTGCCTTCTGCCTTCTGAATGGGCAGTTAGAGTTCCTGGCTCAGCTCTTGGCAGCTGCGGAGGCAGAGGACCCTTCGTCTCTATAATACCCAGTGCCAGAGCAGGGGAGGATAGGTTGTGTCCCAACCCCAGCCCTGGGCAGAGTCCTGCCTGCCAGGGTCCCAGAGAGGCCAAAGCATGGCTGACTCCATCAGCTTATGTCTTCCCTGGGAAATGGTCTCCTTCAGGTACAAAGGAGGGCCCTGCACACACCACATCACAGCACAGAGGAATGGGAGAAATCAAGCCAAGCTTAAGTTATTAATTTTCCTCATTGCCAGAACCACAGCCTAGGAGATACTATAGCTCGGGAGGTGGTAAGCTCCTAGTGACTGGAGGCCAAGGACTTCTCAACTCACATGCAGGGTTTTGCAGAACAGAGGGCTGGCCTGGGTGGCCTGGATTGCTTTTAACTGAGAGAGCACATGTCACAGAGGTTCCTCTGCAAAGTGACCATTTTGGTGGGAGGCCCCAAAGGCTGTTCTATATCCTGAATGATCAGCTGGGGCCTGAGTATAGACGCACAGACCCACGGTCCCCTGGTCTCCAGGATGTGGGGCCATTTCATCGTGCATCTTCTTATTATAGGCACAGTTGTCTGTTATTCTAGATGCGACAAAGGGAAAACTGGAAAAGGTAGCAGTTTTGGAACAAATTGATTTTACACTTCACTTTAATCTTTGCAAAAAAGCAAATGAGGAGGAAATTGGGAAGTGCCAAAACTTTTCTCAATGAGATTAAGTCCAACTACAAATAGTAAACAAGACAGGCTTTTTTACTAAATGAAGAAGCAGAGGGAGGTGGGAGACACCTGGGATAGAGGTAGGGCCCAGGATGGCAGGACAACCCCATCCCTGCAGGACAGCCCCATCCTGGACTGAGGCCAGGCAGTGGGGGTGAAGTCTGGGTGGCCCCAGGCTGGTGGAGACAGGTTAGGAAATAAGTTCAGGTAAGTGTGACAGGAGACCCCCTGTGTCATGTGCAGCATGGGGTGAGACAGGTGTCTCTAGTACCCTGTGTCCTACCCATGCCCACCTCTGGTATCAGCTGGTGGTGGTGGATAGTTCCAGGCCAGGTCAGACACAGCTCTTGCACAGCCTAATACGTGGCATCACATGGGCATGTGGGGACAGCAGAATCACGTCCAGCCACAGTCCTACTTCTTCATCATGCCACGTGCATTCTCTCTCTCTCATTCATCCCCTGCTACTCAAGTATCAGCTAGAAAACAGCACTAAAGGGGACAGAGTATGTATATATTTGCATCTTTAAGGGGTTGTCTCTGGTTAGACCACATGGAAAGGCAGAGCTGGGAGAGTCATGGGGTTTCCTCGAGTTACAGTGCTTCTGCTAAGGGCATGTGGGCTCAGGAGGGGCCTAAGGATGCCCTACTCTCACCCTGTGGCACTGGGGACAGGGGCCCAAGGCCAGACAACCCCCCTCCCCAACCTCCCTCTTGGGATGCAAGAGGTGGCCTGGTGTCTTCCTGTTGAATCCTGGGACTAGGCTATGGGACCGGCAAGGACCCTGAGTACCACACAACATTCTCACGTTACAGATGGGCAGGAGGATGCCAGAGAAGGAAAATCAGCCTCCCTCTCCCACCCTCCCAGGCCATCCTCATCTCTGCAGCAGCCCAGCTGGGCTCCCTGTCTCCTCCTCATGGTGGGTAAAATGACATTTTACAATTATGATCATGATACTCTTCCTTACAAGAGAGGCCCCCCATTGGCGTCAAAAAGGAGCCCAACTTTCTGACAGTACAAAAACGTTCCTCATGATTATCCATCCCCTGTCCTTGCCCTCCTGCTAACAGCCCATTGCTCCTTGGACCCAAGCTCCACCTCTACTCTGGCATGTGCCGCTCCACGCCACACTCACCCCTCACTTGCCCTGCTCCTCCTTGGTGCCTCTGTCTACCAGAGGCTGACCTGTGTCATGCCAAGCTTGCTGGGTTTTCCACTGTCTTCTCTACCAACCTGTGATTCCCTGAGGACAGGGCTAGTCCTGTTCATTAACCTGTCCCCAGCACCCATTGGAATGCTCCAGGCTTGGGCTCAGTGAGTCACTATGAAGGAACAAGTGCCCTGGTGACAGGGCTGAGGGGAGCAGGGACCCTGTCTCTGGGGCCAAGGCTCTCTTCTCATTTGCCCAGCCCTTTTGTGTGTCTGGAGAGTTATTTAAAGGGATTTCCATTTAGATCCCCTTTTTTTTCTTTTTTGAGACAGAGTCTCACCATGTTGCCCTTGGTAGACTGCCATGGCGTCACAGCTCACAGCAACCTCAAACTCTTGGGCTCAAGCAAATCTTGCCTCAGCCTCCCAAGTAGCTGAGACTACAGGCACCTGCCACAATGCCCGGCTATTTTTTTATCGTTGTTGTAATTGTCATTGTTGTTTGGCAGGGCAGGCTAGGTTCGAACCTGCCTGCTCCAGTTTGGCTGAGCTACAGACGCCCTAGCCTCCATTCAGACCCTTAAATGTAGGTCATTACAAAAGTTTTGAGATACACAAAAATCCAGAAATATAAAATCTGCATGGATGCAAACAAATGAAGCCCTCCCAGCAATACTGATAAGCCAAGCATGTTGAAACCTGCATGGGTGACTTGCTGTTAACTGTGTTTCTTAGAAGTAAAATAATGTACCATAACATAGTCTGTTTTGAAACTTTCCCAGTGGCCAGGTAATGTCTTTTATCTTTTCTTTTCTTTCCTTTTTTTTTTTGAGACAGAGTCTCACTATGCCGCCCTCAGTAGAGTGCCATGGTGTCACAGCTCACAGCAGCCTCAAACTCTTGGGCTTAAGCGATTCTTTTTGCCTCAGCCTCCCAAGTAGCTGGTACTACAGGCGCCCACCACAACGCCAGCCAGGTAATTTCTATTGACAGGATAAATGATATGCCTTACAATATATGCCCTATTATTTTCCAAATATACATAAATGTCTCTGTGATGAATAAAATAGAAATAATCCATTTAAATCCTGCCTGAAAAATCATAATCACTCTCTCTATTATGTATGTGTTTCCTTTATTTGGACCCCAGGGGAATACAACCGAATTGATCATAGTCTTCAGTTCATAACCCTTTGCCCTCGTTAGCCCATGCATGGCCTAACTTTATGTTAGTCTTTTATTTTACTGAAGTTTGCATGTAGCAATCACTTATGTATTTATTCCTATACTCTTTTCCCCAGAGGGAATATTCCCTTGCATATGGCATTTGCCATTCTCTTGATCTTATTTTTTCCAGTTTTTCACTGGTATACATCTAAACAATACAGTATTTGATCTTACTTGGTTTTGAATTTTATGTTTGTCATTATGCATCTTCTTAATCAGTAGACATTAAAAAGGTGGACATTAAAAAAGCCCCCATTAAAAAAGTGGGGGCTTGAGAAACAATTTCTGAAGGCCAAGGGGCTTCCTAACAGCCTCCACATCTATCTTAGGGGCCTGGTTATGAAGGATGATG